TAATTCTTAGTACTCTTTTATATTACATCTTCTCTCTATTAAAATTTTAAAACCCCACTTCTTCAATTTTCCAAATCGAGCTCATTAAAATTTTTCCTAATTTTCCTTTCTCTCCATTTCCCTTGTACCGGACAAGCCCTAACCAAGAGAGTGGTATATCCGTGACTACAACTTTGAAATTCAGCTTTAAGATGTATTGAAACATATTAGATTACGTTTCATAACATGTTCCTCAGTATTCTGTCATGAAATACTTCCATTAGTCATATAATTTCTCATACTAAGTAGGGTGGTTGATAAATCCCTAATTTAATATATTATTTGATATTTTTGGGGATATTTACCAATTAAAGTGGGATAAATTGTATTGATTATGGATATCTTGAATCGAATATTGATTGCATGAAATTAGAAATTTAAAAGGAAATCTTATCATATTTTTATCTCCTTTTAAATAATTGATTTTGGATTTTATGATAGTATCTCAATTTATCTTTGGCAGGCCTTAAAGAAAAGGAAATAAAGATAATAGGAAAGCTGAAAGGAAGAAGGAAAAAAATAAAAATAAAAAAAAGGAAATTGGAGACACAACTTGAGCATCAAGTATCAGATGATTATTTTTCAATTGAGTCATGAAAGAAACGGGACGCTGGAATTGCGATATCCACACACGCCAATCTTCCTTTAGATTTGATTCATATATCTATCTATTCCCTCAACTCCAAGATACTGACCACGCCACCAACGTAATTGCCATATATATGGATGGAGGCCCGACATCAAAAGGGAAGCCACACACACAAGAAGTTCATATCCGATCTCCTGAACGTCACGCAACAACACAACATCACTATTCATTCAATTTCCATCCAACCTCCACGGCCTCATGGATTCTTACTCCTTCAAATATGTTGTAGATGCTGCTAGATTCATGAGAGGCTAATCCTATTGTGCTTCTTGGAGATGGAGGAGTAGCTTGAGTTTGGAGCTTTAACTAGGAGAGTATTTGGTTTTCCAATTAATTTTCTCTTAGACTTCATTAGATTTTTCCTGCGTTAGGATTCTTCTTATTTATTTTGGAGACTAAGATTATGCGTTATAATTTCTGTTAATTGGATTTTTGCAGTTAAATTTGAGTTGTATTACTTGGGATTTGAATTTACATATATTTCCTTTGCATTCATTAAAATTATTCTATCTGGCGTGTTGTTGGATTTTATGATTGAGATATATTGCAATTGAGTGTTTTCGTGAGCATTCGTTGAGAGAAAAACAAGTTTTGTTAACTCAATTTAAATTGTATGTCAAGTGATTTTTAAATGTGGCTTAATGTGGCTTAATAATTTGATTACTATGTAGCGTTTAGAGTAGTCAAGTGTTAAGTTTACTTGACCAAAATCATGTTTGGGGTTGTTTTTCTTAACTTGATGTATTATTTTACTCTCATATCTTTATTAAGCAATGATAGCTATATTCCGTTTTTACAGAACATTCTCATCACTGATTTTCTAAAACCTGAATTTACATTTTTCATTTTCTCTTTATTAAAAGTATCAAAAAAAATAGTTTAGATTTATTTCTTATTTTCATAATTAGTTTTATTAATTGAAAAATCCTTTTCCAAACCCCTCCTTTTAATTCTTTGTCACTTAGTTAACTTAGGAATTAATAAAAAGCTCCTCAAAAGACTGGACCCGAGTTGTGCTTTACTGCATAATTTGGCTTTATTTTTTATTTAAACCAAGATAACTAAAAAGGTTCAAATCAGTGATGATGATTCTGAAATTTAGAAAGTTATTTATTAAAAAAATCATTATTGTTTTAAACGTGGCTCATTTTTAAAAGTGGAAATTACAAAAGTTGGTTTAACCCAATGAAAACAACCATAGTTGATATTCCCCTCATAGGCTTGAAAATTGACTTCCATTGTTCATATGGTTATTAAAACTATGCGATTATTTGTAAATAATTTTTATTCTTTAAAATTTATGTATAACTCTTTTCAGTTACTTTTATATCAAAAGGATTTGAATATTTTTTATATAGTCATTTGGCACTCAACATTATTATGTCATTGAAAAGCCATGTCATTAGGGGTGGAGCCTGTCAAATAAACTAAACTAACTAGACACCATAGCAATGCTACCTAGGTCGATCTCTGCTGAGGAGCCAATTACTAAGCCTCCAGCTAACCAAGTATTAATTACAAGCTATTTAACCAAATGGGATGCAGTAAAGTGAATTAACTATTTTAAACCAGGATAAGCTCGCTCATCTACTTTTTATGATTTTTAAATTTTACTAATGAAATGGATTATGCAGACTTCCGTGATGAATGACTTAGCTAACATTCCTAGTTCCACTTATGTTGAGTTCAATCACGCCTAGCTAAATAATGGAGCTAGATTAGAACACACCTTCCCCTAACCAACACCAGTTATTTCCTAAACTCACCTAGACACCTAGCCATTTAATCAAAAGCTTGAGAACATGGGGAGTTAATCGCAATAGAAAAGAAAGTGCTACAAATCAATCAATAATCCAGTGAATAAAACATCTAATATAAGTACCAATCTCCAGACTACACATCCCAGTGATAATCCCCAGCTATTTACATCAATTACAATCCATAGACACCTAGAGACCATAATCAATATACATAGAGATTGGAGACCGAAACTAGGAACAATTAAACTCCCCTATTAGCTTGAGGAACTCAGGTTGGCTTCGTTGTCATCAAGGAATGAAGGGCCTAACAGCTCATGGCCGGAGACAACATCTCACCGAGGTTCAAAGGACTCTCTGCCATGGCACTCAGCAGGTGGAGAGGGAATTGTGACCAAAGGAGAAGCGGAGGTGATGGAATTGAGAGAACCGAGACGATGGTCAATGAAGATGAGAGATGGTTGATATGGAGAAGATGATGACCGAAGGTGAAGGATGGGATCGAGAGGAATGGACAAACAAAGATAAGAGGGAGACGAATCTGAAAATATGCGATCTCGAAGTCAAACATGAGATCTCTGAATTAGCAAAACGCAGCAATCTATGTCCTGATCTTCATCGTTATTTTGGAAGTTTTGTCCTTTTTTTGTCATTTCCTTGTGTTCCCAAGTGCAAATGTGCAATAGGTTATTGTCCTTGATTGCTATTTTGTGAATTTCTTTCCGAACGACAAATATTGCATCGACAATAACCTGCATACATAATCAACCCATGAGATTAAATGTCCTAAACAGATCACAAACAAGCGCATAAAATCTCTAAAATGACTTCACTACCCTTTGGGAACGTTTATCATTAATTATGTCCAGTTAACTAATAATGAGTGCTAATTAGAAACCTAAGATTATATGTAGTGGAGAGTGTGCATCTAATTTTGAGAAGCTCTATCCACACTTTCCACTACATATAATTCCTACAAATGTTAAAGCCCAGAGACATGCCTTGATTTTGGCAAGTTCTCAAGACCCAAATTACCTAAACTTTTATTTATATAAAAAAAGGGAGTGGGTGTTGCACTTATAATAAATTATTTCCAATTATTTTATCAGCATAAAAAAAGATATAGTTAAATCATTAAAATAAAATAACATTTTAAGTGTATCCTTATTTGTAAATAAAAGATAATTTATCAGAATAAAAAAAAAGATAATTTAAAAAATTTGTAAATACTTCACTTTTAGTGCACAATGTTAATATATGGAAATTCGTTATTTTATTTTAGAGTATAAATCATATGTAAAACCAAAGGAAATATATGAATTAAGGTGCAATTTTACCTCATATATCCAGAATTTTTTGTTGGATTAGTATCACTTCAAGAGTGTTAATACTGAAGCAATGTCATCCTTAACCGTTAAAAATATTAAAGGTTAATGTTAGTTTTTTAACTGTCAATATTATTTTTAGATTAATATTAATTGAAAAAAAAATTCAGATACTCATAGGTCCTATGCATAAACTTCCATGATAAAATTGGAAATTAACCCGACAATGTATTTTTGGCGTTTTCGTCAAACACCAAGCTTTGAATCAGAAGCTGGGTCTGGGAGCACTGTATGTGGGCTGTGTTTGGAATGGTGTTGAGTCACCTCAAACGTACGTTCAGAAGAAAAAAAGCTATGTTAGTATAATTTTTCTTGTTTGGATGGACTCAGAAGTTATTTTGCCTCGTAACCCGCACTGTGGCTGAAGTTTTTTTTTTTTTTAACTTTTACGTTTGGTGCGTTAGGGTTCCATGCTTTTGCATCTCATTGTCACATTATTTTCTAGATTTGTCCTCTCTTCTTTTCTCTGAATGAAGCCTCTCTCTCCTCTTTGTTGTTTTACTGTGTGAATGTGGGTTGTGTTTCAAGTGGTTTTTTTTTGGGTGGTTGAGACTTTTTTTTTTTTTGTTGTTGTTTTTATTTTTAATTTATATATATTTATTAAATATATATAATTATTTCTTTTAAATATTTACAAGTTTTTGTAATAATATGTTAAACCCTGTTATTTTTATAATTATAATTATAATTTCAATACTTTTAAGGGAGAATCTTAAAAAAAATCTTTAAATTTTAAAATTTCAAATCATTCTTGTTTATTATACTTTAATAAAAATTGATAACATTTAAAAAGCAAATAATAACATATTTTTATAGTTATTCTTGATTTGAAATTTTGAAATTTTAGAGGTATTTTTTTGAGATTTTTCTTACTTTTAAAGTTATCAAATTATACATTTGTAATATATATTTATAAAAATCATACCATTTTCAATCATTTTACATCTAAACTTATTTTTTCATTATCTATCCAAAAAATTTCAACTTTTTAAACCAACTTTTTAGAAATGTCAAACCAAATATAAATTACATTACACTAATTGACTTTTATCCTAACTGGCTTTTACAAAAATAGATAGAATAAAAGTCGGTTTTGTCACCGCTAATCCAAACACAGCTATGATCACTCTACTCCCAGCACCAAACCAATTCAGAGTATTACAAACTTCTCTAAAAGGATTGTACGGCTAACATCATCTGGATAAGTAAAGCATTTTTCTTGCGACAAAGGTTTTGGGTTATTTTCTTCCCTTCGTACGTGTCTTCGATCTGGAATGTGAAAGAATGTGAAAACTTTGCAAACCTCATCATCTCTTTCTGAAATTGTCCGCACACGGGGAAGAAAGCAGCGAATTTCAGATTGGCTATGATATTTGTCAAAAATGGCCTTGTCTTGCCGACACCTGGTAAGCCCCATTTTCCAACGAATTGAACATTATTGAGACCTATCTGAAAGAGCGGCCCCAGTTGTTCTAGTTTATCGCGAATTCCAATTGGTTTTTCACTAGCAGGCAGCAGTCTGGAACGTGATTTTGTCCATAGCTCCTTAACCACCACCTCAATGAGTTCTGCTTCAGGCCTACAAGTTACAACATATGAATGGCAATGTAAAATATAACTTTTGATTTGTTTTATAATTATAATATCTGTTACTTAAAGGTCTGCAATTTTTAGTACTCTTTTTCCTTTTGGATTGTCAGCACTCTAAAACAGTTTTAATAAGGGCAGCCAAGACATGCACTTCTAATTTCATTTTTATTTTACGAAAGTGCTTTATGAAGGTGAAGCTTTCTGATTTGAGGACAAAAATTATTGAAAAAAAAAAAACTACACAAATTTAAAATTTTAAAAGTTTTAATTTTAAATAAAAATAATTTCAAAAATTCTAAATTTTAAATTTTATTAGAATAAATAATATCATTACTTAAAAAAATGAAACGTTGATTCCACAATACTCAAATATAACAAACAGTATCAATGTCAACTAATTGTATTAAAAAAGTTTTACAATACTTTTTTATATAAATTTTATCAGCGGTTGTCACCAAAAAATAAAAGTTTATCAGTGGAAACTTATTGGGAAAATTGATCATTTGGTGCCTATGTTCTTGACTCAATTAAAACTTAGTCCCTAAATTTTGACTCCAAACGACTCATTCCCAATAATTTTAACCACTTAAAATGTTGATCTCTATATTTTTCAAAAAATAAAATTACAAAGACTAAAGTTATTTTCTCAAATTTAGGAAATAATATTTTAAATGGCTAAATTATAGGTACTAAGTTGTATCAAATGAAAATTTAGGGACTAAGTTATAATTAAGGCAACAGTATGGGAACTAAATTTTCCTTGACTCATTTATCAAATAGTGGTAAACAGCAATGGAAGGAACAACTGGATAAACCATAAAAAGACTCATGAAACTCGTAATATGAAGTATAGGTTGGTGTTACAACTAAGATGTTCATATTAATAATTAAATTTTTGCATATTCAAAATATATAAGAACACATACATGTCAAACTACGTTCCATTGACTGATTATAAGCATAAAATATATGTCGCATGAGTTTACCCAACAAAAAGTTAACTTACCCATCCTTGTAATCCCAACCAGATAAGTTGGCAACTTCCGTGAGAGAATCTTTCCAACTTTTCATATCCTGATTGTCCCTTTGAAGCATGTGATGCCTATCAAAAGCTTCACCGAAACTTCCTGTTTGATGCCGTACATCAGATGGATCTACATCATAAAATATAGGAAAAACCTGTTAGCCCAAATTATTTCTTGATTGAAGAATATGTCGGAGCTCATTTAAACACCATGAAGAAGAGGCATAGTTTTTTGAGAGAACAACAATTGCAAAATGAGAGTCCTCAATTGCTTGTAGGAGCTTTTCTGAAATGACTTCTCCTCTCTCAAGTTCTTTATCATCCTTAAAAACTTTAAGTCCTTTCTTGCACAAGGCAGAATATAAGTGACTTATGATGTTTCTACGTGTGTCTTCGCCTCTAAAACTCTAGAAAATGTCATACTTGCAGGTTCTCGGGTTTGAGTTGGAGTAAGAAGAGTTGGACGAGGATGCTTCTTTATCACTTGCCATAAATGCCTGAGCCACCTTATGATTGATGAAGCGGTAATATTAGGACCTACAAGAACTAAACCATATCATCATTAGCCTTGAAGGAAGACAAACCAAGTGAGCTAGAGAAGATCAGATGATAATTAACACAGAAGAAAGGAAAGGAAAAATTGTGAAAGGTGCGGATAGATAATATGCTGACCTGGGCTTACAGCTGTAAGTGTCTAAACTCTAATGATTAGTATATATACAACTTCAAGGCTTGCTAGTGGCAGCATGCATGTGATCTTTCTCTGATATTTCGCTTCATGATTTACGTAGGGCTTTATTTGACTGAATCAACTAATTAATATATTTTATTTCTCGTCAGGAGTCTTTAATTTCCCCGACGTAACTGGCGGGAACTAACTTTCGGTGAATTTTCCCTTTTAGTTTTACTGACCTTTCTTCCTTTCCTTCATCTTTCATATATTTTAATGTAATTTTTAACTTTGTGGTTTGTGCCAAACCTTAATTCACAAAACAGAGAATAGCGTTGGATAATCGCGCGTGCTATAGATAGATAGATAGTGGGACCTTTAATTTTTTTTTGCTTTATTTTTTTCTCTTTATTTTTGCCACAAAAAATATATGTATTAAAATTATTATGGTTAAGGTATATCTAGTATTCTAAAATAGTTTGTCAGCTGCTTCCAGTATCTTGAAGTAATTTGTGATTTATCTAGTACCCTAAAATATTTTTTCATGTGCATCAAGTGTCTTAAAGTATTTTCTATTTTATTATATTGCGTCACAAAATATTCTGGCATAGTAAAAAAATATTTTAGGATACTATATGAATCATAAATCACTTTAGAATACTAAAACTTGAAATATATTTTTAGGTAGGTCCACTGTTCTAAAATATTTTGTGATGTTGCATCACAAAATATTTTTGTATAAAGAATGCACTTGAAAAAAATTTAGGATAGTGGATGAACCACAAAATACTTCAGGATAATGGACCCTTAAACATTTTTCTACATGCGTTGTTACAAAATACGGTAAGACACTAGACAAATATGAAAAAAATATTTTAAGATATTAGATAAACAATAAAACAATTCTAATACATAATTTTCTTTGCAGTAAAAAAAAAAAGCAAAAATAAATAAATAAATAAACAAAGGTCCACGTTTTGAGTGCGAAGCAATCCGTGCTCATCATCAGAAATGTGGACCCTTGTAAATTTTCTGCAATAATGCATATAGTGTGTAATTCAAACAATGTGATTAAAAAAAAAAAACAGGTTATCAAATTTGAACCGCTTCAACTTTTGCAACAACAAACCACTAAAATAAACATGCATGAAATCAGAGACCTTTTTTTGGCCAAGTCTGTAAAAGAAGTGTGAAAGGAGGGGAGGTTCGAGGAAATTGGGAGGAGAATGAAGAAATTAAAAAGAATTCACAATGGAGATGCCCTCATTGTCGTTTTATGAAAGTTCGAAGATCTCGTAGGAAGAAAATTATTACAATATGGCTATAAAGATATTTTCTAACTCAATATTTGGAAATTTTAACCGAATAATATATAAAAGCAAGATCTTATATCATTATTAATTTGTTTTAGAATAAAAATGACACTGGTTTTTAATATAAAACCCAATTAACTAATTTGTAGAGATTAATGAGGTTAAACAGATTACTTTAAAATATTACATTTACCATTCTTTTAAAACTAATTTGCCCAGTTTATAAACTAATATATAATGTAATGATATATATAAAAATTTTAGATAGATCATGTAATATATACTACAACTAAGTAATCTTTTAACTTTCTTCATTTTCTCAAATTGGTCAATTAGATTTTATATTAATAGCCAAAAGTTGCATATAAAAGCAGAGGCAATATATTAGTGGCGTTGGCGGGGAACATCAAGGAGCATTAGACCAACAAAATGCTCAGCACAGAACTTCTCTTTTACAAAGGCTACTTTTAATCTCAAAAAAAGACCCCAAGTCTTTGCTGAACATGCTTCAATTTTTAACTTTTATTCTTATTTTATGATTTTCTTTTTGGGGAAAAATAGCTGATATTTCTCTAACTCACTTACAAATATATGTGTATTGGAATTCAGTCCGCAAAAATTAACTTTGGAATATTAGAAAGTTAACTGAATTAATTAATTTATGAAATGATATAGAGCGATTGCCAAGGAATTAGAATTAGAGTGCATCTATTTTTTTAAAAAAATTAAAGGGACAGATACTAATTGTTTGAAGTTACAAGCGCAATCTGTGACTTCCTATTTATAAGGAAGCATTAATGTTATAAGGCCTTTGGCAGAATTCATCTTTAAACTCATGCTTTGGTCATGCAAGGCATTTGGGAACGGAATTTTATTTCCAAATCCAATTCAAAATTTTACTATTTGCATACACAAAAGATAGAACTAAATGTTACAGTTTACAAGATGAATTTTATCATCAGCATGACTATACATCTATCTAAGCAGTACAAAATAAATGAAATTACATTTCAACAACCACTTCGTCTTTTCAGCAACCACTGAAAAATTGGCTGGTTTTCTTTTTGAATTATTATTACCAAGTTATGAAAATAATGAGTGTTCTCAAACAAAAACGCTTAACCTATAAAAGAAGGAGGGAAAGGTATGTATATGATTTTTGCTGGGCTTCATTACCATATGTCTTGCCAAAATGTGAGAGACAAAAGGAGAAGTGAGAGAATGAGCAGAGAGCCCATTTTCTACTTTCCATGCCCGCCCATCACGACCTGGCAAAATGAATGTGAACTTAAAGAAATACTACTTTCAATTCAGGTCCTTTTTTTTCTTTTGAATTACAAGGCAAGCATTACGCTTGAGGGTCCAAAACAGTCAAAGTCATTCACTAAAGGGCGACGCAGCTCCCTAGTTGGAGCTCCCCTAGTCGAGTCTCAGCTGGTCCAAACACATGTGGTTAGGTTCCTGGGAATATATTTCGTTACTGCTGACATTGTGCGCATTTCTAGCAAGGATATCAGCACACTTGAGTGCTTCTCTATGTGAATGAATGATCTCAAGGTCCCAACCGAAAAAGACAAGAGCTCTTGTATCATCCATCATCTCTTTCAAGGGTGTGTAACTTCACAAACTGACATCATTCGGTTAACAGCCTCTATGGAGTCAGTGTACAGTTGACCTGGGACAATTGCAAATCTTCACAGACTTGTAGGCCTTGATGTACTGCTTGAAGCTCTGCTGCTATGGTTGATGTAAATCCTAGACTGTTTTGGAATCCCATCAGCCATTGTCCTCATTCATCACGAAGGACCCCCCCACAAGCTCCATGCTTCTGGCTTGCGACCGATCCATCAACGTCAATTCTAACGAATCCTTATGCTGGTGCCGTCCATCTACAATCTGCTCTATCAGGTAGCTAGTAGATCTGGTGCTTGAGTCTACTGTTTTCTACTCCTTCCATCTAGTACTGGGAAAACGGGCCGGCCCGGCCCTGCAGGGCCGGCCCGTTTAAGCCCGAGTTCCAAAAATAAGTAATTTTTTCAAGCCCGGCCCGTGAGATGACGGGCTCGGGCTAGCCTGCGGGCTTTTAGCCTTTTTAACTAAAATGAATTTTTTTTTTATTTTTTTGTATATTTTATCAAAATAATAAAAATGAAACAATAAAATTACTAATAAAAGGTATAAATATAAATAAAATTGAGTCACAAATATAAACATTATCATGTCTAAACATATATTACAGTGTAATAAGGTCTATTGAATAAACAAACTAAATAGAGGGCAGACATAAATAACTAAATAAACATTAAGTTCAGTAGATAATTACAATGCGGATGATCTAGTTTGATTATAAATAATTAACAAAAAAGTTTAACTAACAAACATAGTATACATGAAGAATAATCATTTGTTATATCGACAAAAAAGAAAAGACTCCATCGTCCTTAGTTCTAAATTTGTTTCTACTATAAAAATGATATAGATCTTTATTTTAGTTTAAAAGATTTTTTGATCAATTATATTTCAAGTATAAAAAATATGGGAGAATGACAAATAAAGACTATAAAAATTACACATACAGTATTTTAATAGGTTTTGACAACTTATTTAACACTATATTTTTGTGAATATACCTAGTTTTAAATTTTGCAATTTTCATTTTTTTTTGGTTATTTTTCACACAACTATAGTGATTCTTTTTTTCTTTTTGTGAGTGCTATCTATGTGAGCTGCCAAGATAAGTAAAACTAAGAGTATGATATGTTTAAAATGTTAGGGTTTTCTTTTTTAAATTAAAAAAAAAAGATAGAAATTAAAAAAAAATTGGCGGGCCTAAACGGGCCGGCCCGCAGCCCTACAGGGCTAGCCCGTTTATTTTTCAGCCCTACAGGGCTAGTCCTTTTAAGCCCGACTTCCCTTTCAAAGCTCCAAAATACAAGCCCAGCCCTCGGTTTAAACGGGCTTAAACGGGCCGGCCCGACGGGCTCGGCCCGTTTTCCCGGCTCTACTTCCATCAGTTGGTGTAAGCAGTGATGATAAACATCCTTGGGTTGGTAATGCACTCTTTTGAAAGCTTGCTTGCATCTGTTCTTCCGAATTAACCAGCAAGTCATTGCAAATACTCTGTGCCATGGCCAGCATGTTATCCTTCATGCTCCTGGGTTGGTTCTCTGGTTCCTCTACAAACATACCTGCAAATTTCCACTAAAAAACACAGGAATATTATGGGGGTTAATGAAAACTAGCCATATTCTCTTTGCAAACTCACAATCTCTCAGAGT